AGGTCAAAAGATCTGTAGTGTATAAGGTACCTTTTTGCTCTTTATTTTCCATTATCTTATCATTTTAGCCTTGTACTGTTTTAAGCCATTTTTTTTTTTTTTTTGGGCAGATAGCTGGCACTGAACTTATGTGTGTGTGTATAAAATGTCCAGGCTAAGGTTTTGAAGTGGAACATTGTACTTTCAATTATTTTGGTGTAGTCTGGTTCCAGGAGTCAATCTGGTATAAGGTCATGTAAAATAACCTCTTATTAATCCTTTTTTCTGTACTTAAAGATAGTATTTACACTTGACCCTTGAAAAACATGGGTTTGAATGTCATGGTTCCACTTATACACATTTTTTGTGTGTGTTCAAAAAATAAATAGAGGTGCAGTACTATAAATCTATTTTCTCTTACGTATTAATATTTTCATTTCTCTAGCATACGGTATCATAAGAATGTGGTATATAACATACAAAATAAGTGTTAATTAACTCTTTATGTTATCAGTGAGGCTTCTGGTCAGCAGTGGGCTATCAGTGGTCAAATTTTGGGGGAGTCAAAAGTTATACTTGGATTTTTAAGTGCACAGGGGTGTGAGGGCCTCTAACCTACATTGTTCAGGGGTCAGCTGTATATACTTTGTATATTCAGAGTGGTAATTTATTGCTTATTATCTTCAAACTTTGATTCTGCTTAATACTTGCTTAATCCAGAATCAGATGCTTGGAGGTTTCATTGTCCTTGCTTTTCAGAAACAAAATGTTCACAAATATAGGAGTAAGTTTAATACATCAAGCATTTGTACTGAAGGGACTTGAAAGAGATCATTTCAACCTCATCTTTTCTTTCTCTTTCTTTCCCACTTCTGTAGATGTGGCACCTGGTTTCAGGATTCAGGGAGAGGGTTAGATCTGAAAATTGTGATTCCTCTTTGGAATACTCTCAGTAATCTGAATATTATTGATGTGTTTATTGTGAATATTTTAAAAATTCCTTACAAATTCAGTAAGTTAAAGCGGGACCAAGTGAGTATTAGGGTATAATTTATACTGGTGGTAAAAGATCAGAAACAGTCTTTCAAGTAAGCAGAAGACTTCAGTGGGCACTGTAAAGTGCTCACTATCCTAACAAATTATTTGTAGCAATAATAGTTTTTATAGGAAGATTTTCTCGATAAATTGGATTCTTTTTGCATTTTCCCAAGTTTATAGAGAAGTCACTTTCTTTACAAGTACTTGAGCCATAAATTTTAGCTCAACGAATAGTCATTTTTAAGCAGGTAATCATATTATAATGAATAGTTTCCCCATTAAACTTGAGTTTTTTAAAAAAGATCAGACGTATCTATTGTCATGAATTACAGGGCATACTGAATGTCTTCTCCTGAGTTTTTCATTGGTTAATTTTAAGTAGAAAATAGTTTTTAGTTAATCTTGAAGTAGAATCATGTTCCATTAAATATATGTACGTACTGTAAATACATTTTCTCTTCCTTATTATTTTCTAAAATCATGGGTGTAACTGCCAGTAGGAATTGGGTTGTCTTCTGTAAACAAGCTGTTGACTTAATTTGTTTTTCCCTTCCTAGATACCCTTGTTTCAGGCCCATCCACAGTTGAAACAGTGTGTGCGTCAAGCAATTGAACGGGCTGTCCAGGAGCTGGTCCATCCTGTGGTGGATCGATCAATTAAGATTGCCATGACTACTTGTGAGCAAATAGTCAGGAAGGATTTTGCTCTGGATTCTGAGGAATCTCGAATGCGAATAGCAGCTCATCATATGATGCGTAACTTGACAGCTGGAATGGCTATGATTACTTGCCGTGAACCTTTGCTCATGAGCATATCTACCAACCTGAAAAACAGTTTTGCCTCAGCCCTTCGTGTAAGTTCGTTATTCCTTGGAATAGTACAATTACTGTTTGTCTGACAGAATTCTTTTTCTTTGCTTGCAGTGAACCTTTGCTCATGAGCATATCTACCAACCTGAAAAACAGTTTTGCCTCAGCCCTTCGTGTAAGTTGGTTATTCCTTGGAATAGTACAATTACTGTTTGTCTGACAGAATTCTTTTTCTTTGCTTGCAGTGGTGGGCATTACCACTTACTCTTAATAATCACCATATTTGTGTGATGGTTTCCTTTTTTAGATTGTAAATTCGTTATGATGAAGCAGCATGTCGGTTTTTGCTCACTGTTGTATCCCCAATGCAGTGTTTGGCAGACAGTAGATATCCAAATATTGGTTGGTTTAAAGGAACGAAGTATTATTTTATTTATAAAATGCAGTAAACTAACAATCTCAATTCTGTTAACCACAAAGAATTTAGATTAAAGCAGTAAGGCACTACAGAATGATGTAAAGTGATTTTGCATGTACACACACAAGCATACACTCTCTCTTCAAGCAACTCAGTTACTAGTTCTAGGTCTCACATGTCATGGCTAATAATTCCTTTGTTTAGTGCTTTACTGTTTTCATATTATTTACTATGTTCACAACAAACTGATGCGATGTTTAGGGTATTTTACTTTCATCTTACAGATGAGGAAGCTGTTCATTAAGACTATTTCAAGGTCACAGCTTATTCATAAGTTGAGCCAGACCTTAAAATGCATTTGTCAAATGCACTGTATTTCCTACTATCCTGTCTGTCCACATCAACTTTTAAATCTTCTTCCTTCTTTTTATCTCCCCCTCCCACCTTCCCAATAGACTGCATCCCCACAACAAAGAGAAATGATGGATCAGGCAGCTGCTCAGTTAGCACAGGACAATTGTGAATTAGCTTGCTGCTTTATTCAGAAGACTGCAGTAGAAAAAGCAGGCCCTGAGATGGACAAGAGATTAGCAACTGTAAGTGTTTAGCATTTGCCTTTTAAGTTTTGGGGTTTTTTAAATTTAAGAAAGTGCTTCATAACAAGAACTTCAGTGACGTATTTTGTTTGCAGGAATTTGAGCTGCGGAAACATGCTAGGCAAGAAGGGCGCAGATACTGTGATCCTGTTGTGTTAACATATCAAGCTGAGCGGATGCCAGAGCAAATCAGGCTGAAAGTGAGAATTGGGGCTCTGTCTCTCCCTGCCTCATCTTTGTTTTCTTTCTGTTCTTGTTGCTTGAACTTCTCACCAGTACTAGGACAGCAGGGTTAAATGTTGTTTCTGAGAAAACATCTTACCCCAGTAGCATTTCTCTTAAAGGCTGCCTGTGGAGCAGGTATGGAAATAGCTTACATCCCCTCCCAATCCACCACCCCCCCCCAAAGTTGTTGAAGTGCTACTGTAAAGAGTTCATGTGTCTGTTGGTACTTATATTTCCCAACTTGAGCTTCCCAAGTCGCATTTTCTGTTATTTGTTTTTATTGATAGTTGCTTTATTAGTCTCAACAATACAATGAGAAATATGATAATATTTACCAGTTCCAAGGGAGAATTGGACTGGCAGGGTTCCATTTGAGGCATTTTCCAGTGGAAAACTCTTGATGAGTTTATAAGTAAGGGTGATTCTAACAGGATTCAGGGAAATGCGATACCCTTTTCTGAACTGCCCAATCATGCTGTTATATGTTGTAATGACTCCTCTGTCCTTTTTTTTTTTTTTTTTTTTTTTTTTTTTTTTTTTTTTT